GCTTTCCCTTTTAAACCTGATAATAAGTCCTCTCTTTAGACAGTCATTTGATATTGGCTAAACAAGTAGAAACTTTAGGCCTTCGATTCAATCATTTTGTTTTGTTTTGTTTTGTTGGTTTGGATTTTGAGTAAGTGAAAATTGTCTGATGTGTGCAAAGTGAAATACTAAGAGAGGTAAGCTTATCAGACGGTAACTGATAAACCATAGCTACAGGTGGTAAAACTTGTAAAAAGATTCAGCTCTGTGACCCTTCCAGGGCAACCTGAATACTGCAGTGTGGGCACGCTCACTCTGCCCACTGAAAACACAGGATCCCCACCCACACCAGTCTCTGTCTCTCTCTGTTTTCTGCCTGAAAAAGAATGAGAACTACTACATTTGAGGGACCTGGAACTATGGGGTGAGATCCTATTTTCTTTCCACTGTGGTTATATCCACCAACCAGGCTTCAGATGTGGCATAAAATGATGGGATATATTTTCTGTTTAATGACCTCCCTTTCCATCTAGAACTGGGAAGGTGGAAGGCACAATAGATTAGGCATTGTGTTTAACCACAAGGTATGTGTAAGCACTCTTTCTTGTCATTGGGTACAAACCAAAAAGCATGATCTTGTAACTTACACATAGCACTTGGCCACCACAACTGAAACTTCTTTTCCTTCCTGCAGCTGGTGACACCTTTGATTACTTCTTCATTAAAAGTCTCTTCCACTTCAGTTTTGGAAATACCACCCTTCTGTTTTCCCTCTTAGTCTTCCCTTTCATTTTTTTTTCTTTTGTCAGTGAAAGGATCAAAACTCCATGCTCTTTAAATATTGGTGTCATTTATCTCCATGCCTGACTCATTCCTCACGCTGCAGTTTCAATGGTATGGGTCTACCGGTTTCAATAATTTGATTACTGTGCATATTTTTGTTTCTCTCACAGGTAAGTAAAGATATCTTAATCATCTCTCAGTTGTCTCCATTTTATCTCATAGGCATCTCAAACTAAGCTAATTTAACTGGTCTCTCTCCTAATCTCATTCTGTGATATCTATCTATATGTGTGTACTACTGTCCATTCAACTGTTCAAGATTAAAACATTCTTGCTTAAAAAAAAAAAAGGTTTAGTTATTTGAGAAAGAGAGAGGGAGCGCTGAGGAGAAGGGTGGCAGGAGAGGGTGAGAGAGCCTTAAGCAGCCTCCATGCTGAGCACAGAAGTGGACATGAGGCTCAATCTCACAACTCTGAGATCACAACCTGAGCTGAAGCCAAGAGTCAGACAGTTAACCAACTGTGCCACCCAGGCACCACAAAAACATTCTTAATTCTTTTCCCTTTCCCTACCCAAAATCTCACCAAGCACAAACTATTCTTCCTTTTTTTTTTTTTCCTTCTTTCTATCCCTGGAATACATTCCCTCCTTTCTAATTTCAGTAAACACTACCTCATTATATTTCTCAGTATTGTATTATTTTATGTCTGGAATTGTCACTAAAATGCTACCCTTGTTTCTCCTATCCTATAAATCCACACTAGTTTAGTTTTTCTAAAACAAGAAACTAACAGTGTCCTTTTCATACTTAAAGTTATGTTATCAACCCACTCTCCAAAATCAAACCCAATCTCTTTAGCATAGTGTATGAGCTTTTACTTGTGGTCCCTGCCTACCTTCCCCAGGATTGATTAATTTAGATAATCATAACTGCTCTAACCAATTTCAATACCTTTCTCAATACAAGGCTCTTTCTCCCTGACTTATCAAGGTGGGAGTTTCTAGTCTGTGGGAAGCTTTTATTCATGTGGTGTTTCAGGGCCACAAGATCCTTCTGCTTTGTGGCTCCACCAATTCACAGGGTCTCATCATCTTTAGCATCAAGCCAATGGAAGGGAAAGAGCATGATGAAGGCTCACCTACTTCTTAAGAACCTTGGCTTAGAAGTAATAAACTTGTTTCTTCTCACAGCTATTGGCTGCAATTCTGCCACATAGCCACATGTTAGCTGAGCACTTATCAGCAACAATTCCATCCCAAGAAAAAGAAAACACAAATTTTGATGAACAATTCATTGTCTCTGCATCAACATCAAGAGCTCAACTCCCTAACCTGTCCCCTCTTACAATGTAGCGTACTTAACAACTTGTACTCCTGAAAGACAACATGACCTCACTTTGCATATGTCCCAGCCTTATGCTCATGGCTATCTTCTATTGTTCTTTTAAAATCTAGCTGCAACATCTTTTTGTATAGTAAGCCATTACAGAACTCTTATTTCTGGGTGAATATCCTTTCTATATGTTCTATATTTTCGTTATAAGAGCTGCTTGGAAAATCTTGATAGACTCAGTCATATACATTTGTACCTTTAAAATGCCCATTTCTCTTTTCAGTGGGACTGGAAAAATATGAGTATTGATGATCAAACCTGACTCATTTGGAGTGATTCTCAATACAAATTTCTGAAAATATTGTTAGTAAGGTAACAGAACTTGAGATTTTATAAACAGCTGTGACCATACATCTGGCAATGTGGTTTGTTAAGGAGAAACTTTTGGGTTGTTTTTATCTTTAGTAAGAATCTGTAGAAAATGATACAAAAGGTTTTTGTTTAGTATCAGATTCATTTCCTTATCTTTCTGGGAAGACACTGGATAGCATTTCCCAGCTTGTTTTTCATTTCAGTGTGGCGGTTCAACTAAGTTCTAACCAAGGAAATGTTACCAGAAATTATATGTGTCAATTCCAGGCCTGGCCCATAAAGACCTCCCGGGTACAACCAACTTCTCCTTTCTTCTCTCTGCAGACTCAATATCAAAGCCCAGAAAAATCTCAGAAGCCATATACTAAAGATGCCAGTGCTGCCATTAGCCTGGGTCCTTCAGTCATGCTATAAAGCAAAGCCCCCACTGCACCAAAGGGGAACACTTCCATTTGGTTGGTCCATCATATAAAAAGGAAAAAAAAAAAAAAGTTTCTGTTGTGTCATTGAAGTTTGGAGATGAAGGTTGATAATGCCACCAGCATTCTCCCAAATAGTATGGCCCAATGTTGACAACTAAAGAATTTGTGTTTGGTAATCTAACTGGAAAACTAAAAATATTTGCCAAGGTTGATATTTCAACACAGAAAGTTTTGTCCTAATACAAATAAACTTGAAGCACCCAGATGTCAGGACCTTCTCCTGATGCTTCCACTGTATCAGTTGTCCTTGGGGCTGCAGGCCTCATGGAGCTAATGTCTATAGCACTTAGTCTAGAAAAGAAAACAGAGTTTAGAGCAATGAGGAGAACTTTAGAAAGAATACATTTAAGATCTTCAGCCCTACAATGATTTTGGCTAAAAATAACCTTAAATAGCTTAAATAAGAAGGCTGAATCACAAAGAGCCATAACCAAGGTGCAAAATTTAAAAATCCTACACACTACCATGAAGAAGAGGACACCAAGAAAGAAGCTTGCTTATTTTGAGTATGAAACTGGATAGCAAACAAAAATAAATATCCCTGGAGTATCCACCACCACAGGCATTTTCATACTTCATTGGCAGAAGAACAGAAGCAAACACAAGGATATGTGCAAGAATGATGACTACAGCAAAATTTCTAATTATTAAAAAGGAAATAAACTACACCCAGATGATCAGATCAATGAGACCATTCTGTATTAGAGGTAAGGAGATTTCTAAGATGCATCCTAAAGGAGAAAAAAAAATGCACCAGAGAACACTCTTTGTGAAACAATCCTCTTTATGGAAAGAAACACTATGTACAGGGTATATATATATTTGCATATATAATGATATTTATTGAGTGCTTACTCCATGGCATCCATCACTCTAAACTTTTTACATATTTTAACTTTAATTTTATGAGATAGATACTACTAATATACCCTCATTTGACATATTAAAAAAAGAGGCACGGGGATTTTAATTTGCAGTCACAGAGATGAGAAGGGATTCAAACCTAAGTGGCTGGTTTCCTCCTCCTCCCTTTTTACTTCTTTTCTCAATTTCATTTTCTATTCTCCTCCCTTCCCACCCCCTCTTCCTTCCTCTCACATATTTCTTCACTGTGGCCAGTGTCATAGTAAGAAAAGGGGAGGGGAGGTGCAGAAGGCACATTTTGCTTTTTCCGTATTCAACTTTATTGGTTGGAAGATCCTGTGTTACATTCATAAAAAAGATATTTTAAAGAGAAAAAAAAAATCAGTGAATCCTTCAGTTCGCTCTAACAAATATTTACTGAGCGTGTTTTCCAGTCCGGTGAGAAAAATTAAACATTCTAAGCACGTCTAGGCAGTTTGACTTTTAAAAGTTGTTAACAGCGTTTGGTGGAGAATGAGGGAGAAGGAGAGGGAAAGACAGAGACAGAATGAGAAAGTGACAGTGACAGAAACAGGGAGGCAAACACTAAGAGAGCTAAAGAGGAAAAACCACCGTGAAGAAAAACAAGCTTGACCCCGTCTCATTTGTACTCTGAACCACCACTGCTCTCAAGACTTGAGAGCGATAGAAATCTAAGGGACGGAGGTTAAAGCCAGAAAAACGGAAGTTTCCGAGAATTTAGTGCCCCCACCCCCCCACCCCCCGACCCCCCGAGGGGGGCCACATCCCTGATGATGACTTTCAAGTTCCAGCTGGCGTCCACCTCCCAGTTCATTGTTGAGCTTCGTTCGCCACAGAACTAACCTGGAAGTCTCTGTAGGGAACGAGAGGAGGCGGGGCAGCATCGCCGAGGCAGCCGGCGCCCTCAGCAATCACGCCCTCCAGCAGGCACGCGGGCGCTCGGGGACCGGGTAGGAACCAGGAAACGAAACCGGGAGAGTTTCTCGTCACCGAGGTCGCTCGGAGGTTCCCGCACTTCGCCTGGCGGCGGCATCACCGCGGCGACAGCCACAGGTGGGCGCGCACCGAGCGCGGGAGACGCGCGGGTTCCCGGGCAGGGTGCAGGGCGCTGGGGGGCTGCTGGCGGGGGCCGGGGCACGAGGGCTAGCGGGCTGGGTTTATGCTGGCTGGGTGAGTGGCGGTCAGGGTCCCGGAGGCCCCAGGGAACTACCCCGGAAGCAGAAGGGCGACTCGCGTGGGACCCCTCTGGCCCATCATTTTTTTCCTGCCCAGACTTCCTTGCAGGCTCAGCGCCCGCTTAGTACTGTTCACCTCTCCGCCGCGCTGAGGAACCCGGCAAGAGCCTGAGCTGTGAGTATCCGCCACTTACTGGGAGGGGGAGGGGACGGGTGGAATTAGAAGGGATGATTAATAGACCCTCTTAGCTGTCGTTTAACACTAAATATTAATTAGGTGTATGGATGGACCCCCCCAAACTGTGCTAGCCACCCTAGAACACCAGATGAATTGTAAAGAAAGCGGTGGTTTGCAGCTTAGAGGTTAAAACTTTTAGCTCTGGAGTCCACCTGTCTGATTGAATCCTGCCTCTACTACTTAATTTCTGTGGCCTCAGAATCAGTTTCTTCATCTTCATCCTTGTCTTTGAAATTGTGTAAAGATCCAAAAGGAGTTACAGGCGTTAGAGTGTGATATATATTAGTGTAAAGCTGTTGGAGTTGTGTCTAGCACTGCCCCAAGTACTCAGTAGGGTTAGCTTTTAATATATTTAATAGTAAAATCCCTGCTTCTCCAAGATTATTATCTGATTCCCATGTGGTTTTATTTATACAGCTATTCCTGGAGGTCCTACAATGGCTACTTCCCAGTTTCAGGAACAGGCAGGCCTTGTTTCTCCTAGTTTAGGAATGTGAGAAACATTAGTACAAGTGTCATTTAGTGGAATTGTCAAGGGATTCATGATTTCCTTTTTCATTGTTGAACTTTCTTAACCGCAGAACTTTCTCTTAATAGCATGTCCTAGAGTATGACAACTGTGAGGCTTTGAACACTGAGTAGACACAAGGAATGAAGAATAAATGAAAAGGGAAATGAGCAGATTTCTGCAGTTGGATAGAAAAGTGGGATGTAAAATAAGTGGCTGGATCAGAGACTAAGCACCCTTCACATTTGTAAGGGAGCTGTTCCTTATGACCAAAAGGAGTGAAATAATACTGTACACACCTTGTTCAGTCAACAAGCACCTGTGAAGTGCCTTGTCCTGTACAAAATAGGCCATCTTCTGGCCTTTGAGAGCATAGAATTCAGGGAGAGAGAGATTAAAGGTTACGAACTGTCCCCATACACTTCTCTATCCTAATGTCTGATGACCTCTTCCTCTCTTTTTTCTGTAATCCACAAAGTTTTCATTTCCTTAAGTGAGTAAAGTTCCTTCTAGCCACAGGACTTCTACTGTTCTCTGTCTATAATGCCTCACTTTTCCCCAAGCCCCACTCATGGCCTGGTTGATTTTAGACTTCCTTTGGCTCTCAGATTCAAAGGAAGTTAGGGACATAGAATTCTGTCACTGTCTTTAGAGCAGTAACGTTTTGCTAAAATAATGCAGAACATATATCCACATCTTGGGACTCAGAAAAATGTTAACTGCTTTGTTCTTAAACAATTAAGAAGCAAATATGAATAAATAATTCAAATCTAGTTTATGCCTAGTTTATAAGCATAGTAGTCTTAGATCTTCCAAATTAGGGATGCTTCCCTTGGATTCCAGATTGTACATTACTATTTTTTAAAGCAATAAGATAGAAATTTCAGGACTCCAAGATATGGGTCAAGGATTTCACTGTAGTATGAGTTATGGAGCCACGACTGATGGCACTTGCATTGTTTCTCTTCCCTGATGGAAGAGGTTTATAATTTTCAAATAGCCCAGAGCAGCAGTGGGTCTTATGGTGTCTGATAGAATAATTTTACCATACATACACTTACATAACTATAGTATATGATGCACTAATCTCCTCAGAAACTCTCATTTAACAGAATTAGGAAGAAGTGTGTAGTAATCAGATTATAATTTGAAGTTATATATTTGTCCTGAGGTGATTAAGATTCCAGTGGTACAATATATTTGACTTCCTTAGAAACTTTTATGTCTTTTAGTACAAGATGAATACAGTGTTCTTTTTCTTGGAAGTTTTTCAAGGATTTGTTTCTTAGTAAGGGTAGTGGGGACATTATTTAAAAGTTATTGTGTTAATTAACTAATTAATTAATTCACCCAGGACTCAGCTTAGTCATTTCCAAAACTGAGTGACATTACCTCTTTTTAATAGACCCTTAAGTTTGAGAAAATCAAAAGCAAACAGGAGTGGACAGGATGACATGATGAGTATCATCCTTATTCCACAAGTTCTTTATTTTACCTGGCACACATACAGCTACAACTTGTCACTTAACATTTTGTAACTGAACTTATGATATACCATTTTTCATGCTTGAGATACTGTGTAATTGCAAAAATTCTAAAACCTACAGCATAGTGTGGACCCAGATTTTGTTCTATAGTAGTTTTGCCATCAGGGACTCATTTTCACAAATCTGTAGTTTAAGACTCAAAATAATGTAACCAAGTAGGAAAGAAAAGAACAAATACAGACAAATAAGTTCTGCTTTAGAGTCTATTATTTTCCTTTCCTTGGATCTCTGGATAGGAGGTTTTGCCTTGTGTTAATTGTAATTAGCAGGCAGAAAGGAGATTGGGATTTTAAGTGGAGAGATCAGGGGGAATCAAGGAACTGGAAGGTAGAAGTACTGAGTGCATTGTGTTGTATTATTATTATTATTATTATTTTCTGTAGAAATAACCAAACACAAAATTTTGGTTGTATTGTTGTGATGCCACAACTATGACAACCCTTGAGAGTGGGTTCTCTGGCTAAAAGTGTATCTTGAAACATAGAACAAAGGGTCAGGCCTTTTCAAATTTACTATTCAAGTTGGGCAGAAAGTATCCACAGAACTTGGAATCCAGAGATACTTGCAGTACTGTAATCTGATAGCTAACCAGTCCTGGTGAAGCATGTTTAGAGCCCAACCCTAAGGCTGGGTGCTAGATCACACATTTCTTTTGTGTAGATTGGAAGGCTCCAGTTTTTGAGTTTAACTTGGATGCAATATGAGAACCTAAGATCATAGTGTTTTCCTTTTGGCTTTCTGCCTTATAAGACCCTCTCCCCACAAAGATTTGTAGAAAATGTCCACCATCCTGGGGTGACCCACAACTTCTTAAGTTGTACTCAGAACCACATCAGTGGGGAATGGGATCAAGACCAAAGGGTTCAAATGACCATTCTGGTAGACGAGATGAATAGACGAATATCTTATGTGTAAGTTTAGTTTCAGAATATCTTGTTTCAACTGTCATATTTGACCTATAAATTTTGTAAACAATGTAATAATATCAGGTCTTCTTTTTCAGAACTTTTCTAAATCATGGAAAAACAAAGTAAGTAATTTAGGTGTTTACTTTCATTTTATAATGTTAAATCTGTTGTTAATATGTTCTTTGTCATAATGTTTTATACAGTTTCTGAAAAGATATAATTTGTTTTGTTTTGTTTATGCTTTAGAACCCAGAGTCTAGTTCATTGTTTTGACATAGAGACAAAGTACACATATATCCACTACCACTAATTTTTCCTGTAAAAATATTTAAAAAAACCTTAGGTAAGCCTAAGGAATTTTAGTCTTACAGGGAAATATGTTATATAATTTACACTATCTTCCATCTAGATCAGTTTTTGCCTTTTTATGTGCATTTTATATGCATTAACATTATTCAATTCAAATTAACAGATAATAGATTTAATATATCAGTCTATTGTAATAAAATCTTCTTATACATCCTTGCTCTGTGTTTCATAACAGACACATGTGGGCAGGTTTAAATAAATAACAATCATTATGTTATGGCTTTTTACTATCAAGGAAATTCTAGGGGCACCTGGGTGGCTCAGTCAGTTAAACAGCCAACTCTGGATTTCAGCTCAGCTCATGATCTCAGGGTCATGGGATCAAGCCCCGCGTGGGGGAAAGTATGAAAAACAAAATCCTGCTTTGTGAGAAGGTTTATATTCTGTTTATTTTTGTTTAGCTACCAAAGAGACGTTTATCTTTCACCACAATGTCAACCTTGCTAGATATATTAAAAACTCTGTAGGACTAGAAACCCCAGCTTTCCTTCATGAAGTTTCTTTTCTTCTCTTAATGTTTGCTATATTAATTTAATTTTGCTTACAAAACTCAAGGCTTTTTAAATGTAAATTGATACAGTATTACACTGCCATATCTGCTGCAGCATTAGGATGCTTTAGATCATTTTAGAAGCATTCTTTTGGCCAAGGTCATAGTCACCTTTTAACTCTTCATCTATGTAATTGTGTGTGTGTTTAAGTGTGCATAATAGGAATAAAATGTATGTATGTATATATGTAAATATATATAGAAGTAAAAATAAAATTTCTTTATGATAACCTGACAGCCCCATGATATCTATAAGTTATTTTAAGTTCCATTTCCCAAATGCAGAAATCCATTCATAGTCATATTCCCTTTGGTCTACTTGACCTCTTCCCCATTTGCTTGTTTTCCCTTTATATGAATTTCTGCTCCTAGATATGTATATATATTTACTGTTGTTCAAACAATGTTACCTATTAAGAGGTGCCAAAATGTGACATATCATTCAAGAGTAGATCTGTTAGTCACACTTGCAGTGTGTTTTCTTGAGATCTGGTAAGTGTGATCTCACTCAGGTTGGGAGTGGGGGCTGTGGGCAGGGCCTTGAGAGCTAGAGAACTAGGAGGTAGGCCAACCCTTGAAGCCAACAAACAAGGGAATGGTTGGGATGGAAAGACCTGCAGTATTTCAGAGATCTATAATAAATCGGGTTATATTCCACTATCTGTTCAGGGAAAAAGCCCTGATGGAAGTAGAGGATTCTTTGTTACCTGAATTTTGCACAGTCTCCTTGGAGTCCATTCTACTGAAGTTATTATGAAGCCAATTGAATGGAGAAGGGTGGCTCACAATCCAGCTTTCCTACTGAAACCATATGAGTTGAGTGGTCTTTGAAGAACTATGGTAAAGAAGGATATAGGAAATATATCAGATTGAAAGTTTGACTTACTTTTTCTTCTATATTAATGCCATGCCTTCATCATTTGGTTAGAAACTATTTTGAATTTATAGTTAGCAAGCCATAATGAAACATGGTATAAGTGTAGTGTCCACTAGACCATAAGTTGCATGAAGACAGAGGCAGTATCACCTCAGAGGTCAACTCAGAGGCTGTACAGGAGGTGCTCAACAAATATTTCTTGTCTGATTGGGGTCACTACTAAATAAGTGACTAGAAAACACAAATATGAAGAATGATTAAAAATTCTCAACATAGTTTAATATGTTAGTTTTTTGTAATTCAGTCAGTTATGATTTTCATAGGTCATAATCCGTCAAATATTGGGAATTTTCTGTGGTTCAGCCTTATTGGGGGAGTTGCAGAATAAGCATAAAAAGGATATTTAAACACTAAAATGTATGCATTATTTTACATAATTAAAAAATAATTCTTGTAGCAGTAATTTAGATATCTTTGAAATCATCCATAATCTTTCCATTATGATCCCTACATCTTTCTTCAGTGTCTGCATGTGGTTTTAAAACACTGTTTTCCTACTACTAATGGAATCAAAATATGGAAGTGAACATTCATCAGGTATATCTGAGAACCGGAAATTCAGCCCCAGCAACTCAGCCATCTCATTTTATCAAAAAAGGAATTTGTTTGAAACAGGATTCTACTGCAAATTAAGTCTGATAGCAAGCATAGCTTGTTGTAGTTAAGTGAAGAATTCACTTTATCAATTTTAGTACAGCACAGGATCATATAAATGAAAATTGCCTAAGGACAATATATTTTTCTTTCTGACATATATTTTATTAAAGAAGGTATATGTTTTACCTCTCCCTGAATTGTAGATGGGCAAATGAGGGCTCCTTATCCAGGAACAAATTTACCACCTGGACATCCCCCTGAATATCCTTCAGCAGCATTCCAAGGGCGCTGTTTAAAGAATAAAAACCCCAGGGGCGCCTGGGTGGCTCAGTGGGTTAAGCCTCTGCCTTCAGCTCAGGTCCTGGGATGGAGCCCTGCATTGGGTTCTCTGCTCAGCAGGGAGCCTGCCTCCTCCTCTCTCTCTGCCTGCCTCTCTGCCTACTTGTGATCTCTATCTGTCAAATAAATAAATAAAATCTTTAAAAAAAAAAAAAGAATAAAAACCCCATATTTTTCAATTACTGATACTCCCCAAAGCATGTATATATCTATGTGTCTATCTCTGTATGTATATTTTAGTAGTGTCTTTTACTAAAAGTGCAATAATAAAATTGGCAGCCTAGTTCTTGATTATTTTGCTTGACTATGTAGTATCATAAATATCATCAAAGTAATTTTTACTTATACAGGATAGTAAAGATATAGAGTTAATAAAAAATAGAGAGGTTACATTTAGCAAATAAAGTCTGCACATAAATTAAACCCCAAAATACACATTTTAAGTGAGAGATTTAATTGATTCTTCATTTGTTCTGAAAATTTTCATCATGTAATCACATTTAGGAGATTTATCCTTGGGTATTTTTGAGTCAGATATTAGTTGAGAGTATTTGTGTACAGTGAGAGTCACAGAAAAGAACTTAAAGCTGGAAGCTGTAAGTAATAAAAATGCAGCTGCATGGGGATAATTCTCGTTTTCATCTCATAACATATGAAAGCTTTGCTTTTGTATACATCTTGAATCATGCTTTTCACCTAAGAAAAGCAGTTGAATCATATCACTCCATACTAGGGAGTACATTTTTCCCTTTGAACCAACAAATAGAAGACTTCAGAGATTCTCGTTTAGACAAATACAGTTATCAAAATTATTAGAACTTTACTAAATGGCAAAGATCATGGTGCACCCAAATTTGCAAGTAGTCTGACTACTACCATCTTGAGAGACCATCCTGGGGATTTAGGATCAAAAGGGATCATGTTTGGGCAGAAGGGTGTATCTCTTTTGTTTTCTACTCTGAGCAAATAAATCTGCTTGGGAATTAAATGGCCTTATTAATTGTCTAGCCAGAAATTTCCCAGTAGGGCCTGGATCTCATCCAGATGTTTGCAGTTTTAAGAATGGGAGCTAGAAAATCTCTAAGATATAGTTCTCAAGAGTGCCTGCACTTAAGTTGTACATGGAAGTTCTTAAAAACACTCTACCAGTGAACTATCCCAGGAAAATTAAAGCAGAAGCTCAGGTAGTGGGACCCAGGGTTAGTAATTTCTTTAATTCCCCAGGTAATTCTAATGTGCAGCCAGGGCTGAGAGCCACTGCTCTAAATTCTTATATGGCGATTGTTTGAAGAATTATTAGCAAGCTGCAATATGTATCCAAGGTACTTAGAGAATGACTTAATCCACCCCACAGCTAATTAAAAGTAGGTGATACATAATTAAATTCAGTTATAATCAGACAAGAGTTTGTAAGAAAAATATCTTAACTTTATTCCTCAAGTCCTAAGGCCACATATAGTGCCAGTCTTAATATGACAATGATGCTAACAGTAGTAATGGTTTAAAATTGAGAGCTCACAGTGTGTAATGTGGAGTAACTCATTTAATTCTCAACCTTATAAAGTTGTTATTAATCACCCCCCTTATGCAGGTGGGGAAAAGACATAGAGAGGCTGTCTCAGGCTTCACGTTCTGGCTTCTATACTTCATAGTTGTGCAGTGGTTCAAACAAGTTGTTAAACCTCTAAGCCTTAGTTCTTCTCTATAAACTGGGTCTAATATTTTCCAACTCAGTTTTGTTTGGAGATTGAATGAAAGTATATGTAAAACACCTATTACAAAGATTTACAAATAATAAGTGATTTAATATTAGTTGACTATTGTACTAATAATATGTTAAATCAATTGGACTTCATACAAATGAAAATATTACCCAAATTTCAGGTAATTCTGTATGCTTAATTCATTGATTTGGGAAATAATCAGCTATCCTCTCCAAGAGTCTCAAGAAGATTGAAATAATGTTAATAATGTAACCTATTAACTCATGTATCCCCATTTGGTTTGCCTGTGGTCTAATCTTTGCACTGTAGCCATCTTTAAAAATGCTTATCTGTTCATATTACGGACTATATTCAATGTGTACATCATTGGCTTGTTGCTTTTTTAAAATTAACATTTAATGTATTATTAGCCTCGGGGTACAGGTCTGCGAATCGTCAGGCCTACACACTTCACACACTCACCATAGCACATATCATCCCCAGTGTCCATAACCCAACCACTTTCTCCCTCCCCCTGCCCCAACCCTCAGTTTGTTTTGTGAGATTAAGAGTCTCTTATGGTTTATCTCCCCCACGTTGCCTTTCAAATTCCTCATATGTGCAAGCTGGTGCTTGTTGTTGCTTTTATGATAGAGGCCAAAATGCTTAATTTGGTTCACTAGACCTGAGGGGCTCCCCTGCCTTCTCTTTGACTGTCTCTTAAGCCTGACTCTCTGCTATTCAATGTGTTTTTTACAGATGGCTTTTTACAGATGTGTTACTATCCCAGGGCTTCTCTGTGAAACCTTTTTCCCTGTGCCCCTGATCTACTCAACTCCTTTGTATCCTTTAGATCTCAGCTGAAAGGCAGTCCTCAGGGATGATGTCCCAACTCCTTCCTTTTCTCTCTCCCCATCCCAACACTTTGTTTTGGCATATATAGTCATAAAAATCTGGTCCCTTCTTTCAAGGAGTTTGCCTTCGACTCTCGTTAATCAATTGATCATACTGGTCTTACGGATCTCTAGAGTAAAGGATAAATATAAGGTTATCTTCCCCTTAGGCAATGAGGACAGGGATTTCATCTGCATTTCTCATTTTAAATCCCAGTGCTCAGCATTCCTAAAAACTTTGTAAGATATAAATCAGATTATGGAACTCACTTGTCTGTTTAAAATCCTCAAAGTCCTGTCAGTCACACTTGGAATAAAATCGAAACTTCTTATGAATGGGCTTTCTAGATGAACTGCTCCTATTTCTTCACTGACAACAGATTCTATTCTTCCTCTTCTTTATGATGTTTCTCTCTTTCTCAGACATGCCAAATTCATTCTTAAAGTCTAAGATTTTTACGTTTGGTTTTCCTTCCTCTTGAACCTTTCTCACCGGGTCTTTACACAAAGCTTTTCCTTTCTCATATTCTAGATCTCAACAGACCTTTTTTTTTTTTTTTCCTATCTAAAGTAACTGGTTGATACCTTTCCCTCTCCACCATGCATTTTCTCTATGAGTTCCATCTGAAATCTTTTAAAAATAATTTATTTTTGTTTTCCCAAAAGTTGCCTATAATCATCCTGAGGATGGGTTACCTTGTTGATAGCTGTGTCCACTGATTCTAAAAGAAAGCCAGTCACATTGTAGAACATTGGTAAATATTTATTTATTCTAAGAAGGAATAAACTATAAAAACTATATTTAAAAAGTACTAATATGAGATTTAGTCTCTCTTCTAAATCTTTTTGTAATGGTGTATTTGCTATCAATGATTTTTTAAAAGCATTTATAAATTATTTATTATAAATAAATTTTTTAAAAGTATTTATAAATTGCCTGTTGTAACTTTTTACCTTCCTTGGTGCTCAAATTGTATTTTTTAGAGTGCTGAGAGCAGTAAATTTTGAAATTTAAATTTGTAACCTATTATAATGGATTTTTTTTTTCACGTAGGAGGTCTTAGGATAGGAATGTAATGTGGGTTTAAAGTTCAGGCCAATTGTTAACCCAGATAAGCACCTGGACAATACTGGAAGTAACAACATGTTTTTACCTCTATACCAGAGTTTCTCTACAGCAGCACTATAGTATTTTGGGATTTACAATTGTTTATTTTCAGGGTACTGTTCTGGTATTTCAGGAAATATTTAGCATCATCACTGGCCTCTGTCTACCAGATGCCAGTATCACCCTGTGTTCCAGCCAAAACAATCAAAAGTGTCTCCAGACTTTGCCAGATATTCCCTGAGGGGGCAAAACCACCCTTAGTTCTTTACATAAGGGAGGTACTGTTTCCACAACTCCAGAATTATCATATTTCTATAAAGTGCTTTGGTTTTAGAAATGCTAACTCAAAGCCTTTATTTTGGGCCTTTGACACAATGCCATCTCTCTTTTCTATTAAGGCATTCCAGAATCTTTTTGTAGGTGACTCTAGATCGTTGTTGATTTTCATCACTTTCTTAGGTTTCAAGACTATTTTCAACTGAGTTTTGAACAGTGAATAAGGCTTGGGCCAACTCTATTCACAGTCCCGAGCCCTATGGGAGGGGATATGAAACCACAAATATCTCATTGAAAAATTGATAGAGGATAAAAATACAAACTTTAAGCTTCATAGAAACAGGATTTCTGGGCTGAAATTTCAGTTGAGTAATCCCAAAAGAATTCACGTTTCATTTTCTGTGCAGTTATAAATTATTTCATCTGTTTATATTTCAGGACCTCCAGAGCACACTGGCTACCCTACCCCCCAGCCTGGCTACCCTGGCCCCCAGCCTGGCTTCCCTGGCCCCCAGCCTGGCTATCCTGGCCCCCAGCCTGGCTACCCTGGCCCCCAACCTGGCTATCCTGGCCCCCAGCCTGGCTATCCTGGCCCCCAGCCTGGTTACCCTGGCCCCAAGGCTGGCTACCCTGGCCCCCAGGCTGGCTACTCAATTCCACCAGCTGGTTATTCAGGTGCTGGCCAGGTAGGCTTTCCTGTCCAACACCAGCCAGTGTACAGTCAGCCAGGTGGACCTGCAGGGGTACCATGGATGCCAGCACCACCACCTCCAATAGATTGTCCACCTGGATTGGAATATTTAAGTCAGGTAATTTCAAATAAATGAAACACTCATAAAAAATAAAACCGTACTTATAGTTTACTTAATGAAATTAAGAAATGACTAATTCACAGAAGTCTGAAATGGTAAAACATTTTATACTAACAAGTTACGATACTTCTTCCAAGTGAAGTTTGCTTTTAAAGCAAAATGCAAATGTCCTAAGAAATTGTGTTTTCTTTGAATTTTTACTATAATCTGTGGTAATAGCCAATAACAAAATTTTATTAAGCACTATTTCCAGATTTTGTTCCTAAGTATAACACATGTATTGACTTATTTAATCCTTTTAGAAGCTTTATGATATATAGGTGCTATAATTATCATCATTTTACAGAAGAGGAAACTGAGGTCCAGAGAAGTTGTATAATTGACTTGGAGACAAAACACTAAGGAAGTGGGAATGGCTTCTTACTTCTGGAATCTTGGTGCTGGATCTCAGTATCTTTAATCTCAGCACCAAGTAACTTTCTGGAAGGTGAAAATAAACATTAAACTAAATTTGGTGTTGAGTGTCAATAAGAGATACCAAAAACAAAGAATTAATATTTTGTGTACAACATGATATACTTTTTATTATAAGTAATAAAACTGTATTTTATGATGCTTTGTTCTTTGGAAGAACCAATTTTATTAATGCCACCAGTAAGAAAAAAAAATCCTGGATTTTAGTGTACTGCATGATACCATATCCTAGCAATGTGAGGGTTAGTATTTGCCCAGTGTTGGAAATCTGGTAGGTAGAGCAGGAATATGAAATTTTATGTGTCTGATCAATAAACAAATAAATATATTCCTGTGGTAACCAACCAGCTTTCAGCAAATGAATTGGCTCTCTTGTACTCTCTGTACTAATTTCCCACAGTGCATTTGGGCAGCATGTATTGTAAGAACTTTTAGTAGTTCATACATTCTCTGACAAATACCTTGAATAGATTCTTTTTAAAATCAAGGCCTTACAGAATATATAGAGGAAGTTAAGTTGATACCAAAAGATGGTATCAAGCACACTTTGAAAAAAATTTTTTTAGATCCAGAAATAAGCTTTTCAAATGGATAGAGTCTTAATATTTCCTAAGTCTTTTCAAGAAGGAAATTTTTTAAAAAAATTGTTAGAGGGATTCTAGTGTGAGTCAATTTTATTTGACCTGAATTTGCCCACATTTTTTTTAAATTTTATTTATTTATTTGAGAGAGAGAAAGAGATTACAAGTAGGCAGAGAGGCAGGCAGAGAGAGAGGGAGAAACAGGCACCCTGCCCAGCAGAGAGCCCGATGCGGGGCTCGATCCCAGGACCCTGAGATCATGACCTGGGCCGAATCCACTGAGCCACCCAGACGCCCTCACTGAATTTGCCCACATTAATAGTGAACACATTCAATAGATTGTTTTTCAGTTAAAGATAATATTAACTTTAATTTTATACTTTTTTAAGTATGAAAGTTTAGAAGTAAGGTATTCTATTATTAAATACGGATAAATACTGATAATTGATTATATACATTCCTTAAAATATAAAAGCACTAATATTAATTTGGTTGGTGTAAAAAGCATGGCAATATACTTATAGCTTAATTGTTTTTGATGTAATAGATAGATCAGATACTGATTCATCAGCAAGTTGAGCTTCTGGAAGGTATGTATTCATTGTATTGATGATATTTCTAGAATGAGATATTTATACAGATAAGGGCATATCAACAACCACAAATGTAACACTTTCACTGATGTGGAAGAGTTAAGTCTGATTATTTATAAATGTCTCCATGATAATGAAATTATGGTAATTATCAGTAGCTCATTTCTAGTAAAATACTATTACTCTGAGCATCTGTCCTCATGCTACAGACCGTGACTTAGAAGGAAACTGATCAAAACTTACTTTTCTCTGAGTTCTCTCTAGAAATGACTTCAGCTGTTTTCTTCCCAGCCTATGATGATCTTGATATTGACACAGAACCAAATGCACTAGTTCAGTTACCTTAGTCCATTTAAAAAGCAAGTAAACTTCTTCAATTTGGATGAGTATGTTTTGGAGTTCATATAACCCTGTAAAACCTTTGTTCTGTGGGCTATGGATTGTCACCTTGGGTACAGAGCTAATGCAGTGTTGGAGGATGCTGGTCAGCAGGCCTGGAGGCCTACCTTCTTAGAACAGCACTATGGTAATCATAGAGTTATTTTGTTTTATTCTTATTTTTTTGAGTAACTAGAAGGTAACTTAGAGAGTGTGTAAAACCATTGACCTCATTTTACAGATAAACCAGCTGAAGAATTTTGAAATTAAACTACTTAATTAATGGATAATAGAGTCCATGTTATGAATCAGTTTAATTTTTTTCTCACAAAATATGTGACTGTCAGATGTTGAGGTCAAGGGTGGTTCTTTTAAAGAAAGAGCCCAAAGCCTGTTTGAGCCAGAGCAAAGGTACCTAAGGGAGGTCATGGTGATAGAATATATGAAGAACATCTCTACCTGACTAAAAGTCAGATAGACATTAGTGAGTGTTTTTTGTCCCGTATTTATCTTTTAATCATTCATTATTTTGGTGGCTCTGACATCCCATGACACACATTAACAAGGACTATAGACTAGTGGGACCATTAATTGTTCCTTTCTGGCTCTAAGCAAGGAGACATTTGCAATGTGTGGTTTAGTATGGGAACCCCACTGGTAAGCTATCACATGGGCATCAGCATTTAGCATACCTCTGCCTCCCTGTGAAGAGATAGCCCCCTCTAGAGTACAGAGCTTACTTAGGATGCCAGTGGCCTAGATAGCCTATGAGTTGCAGCCTTCGTTGCTAAGGACCTCTTCCCATTGTCTAGTACCCATCTCCCATTTCTGAACAACTACTGCTGAATTAAACAAGGGTGCTCTGGGCCTAATGCGATGTTCTAATTCATCTTCCATTTTCACCTTCCCTTTTTACGTGTATGCATTAAGAATAAGCCTTCTCACTACCTTCCCTCACACAGTGCAAAAACATAAGCCATGAATATTATATATATAAAAAAATTTATTTGATAGAATGTTTCATAGAGTATAAACATAGCAACCATCCTACATTCTCCTACATAACTGAATATATGGAAATTATACCAAGCAAGTGGATATTTTCTGCATACACCTAGCACAACTAAGACCATCTACAGCATTGCACCATCCCTCAGCAGCAGTCTGACTTTCAGACATGAGTCTACGGAATTAGATATATGAGTTGTTTTCTTTTCCATGTCTCACACAGGGACTCTTAATTTCTCTATGCCTTAAAACCTTTTCCTTCTTCTTTCCCTTTCCCATTTATCCTCCATCTAGATCATCTTTAAACACCTTTTCTTTTCTTTCTCCCTGTGTTACTTGAAGTATCATCTAAAAATGGCATAACTACACATTATAGTATCTTAGGATAGATTCAATATTCTTTTAGCATAATGGTCATAATGATTCCCCTTTTATGTTTGTAGTCTTAACAGGTTTTGAAACTAATAACAAATATGAAATTAAGAACAGCTTTGGACAGAGGATTTACTTTGCAGCAGAGGATACGGATTTCTGCACCCGAAATTGCTGTGGGGCTTCTAGGCCATTTACCATGAGAATTCTTGATAATATGGGCCAAGAGGTTATAACTCTGGAGAGACCACTAAAGTGTGACAGCTGTTGTTTCCCTTGCTGCCTTCAGGAGGTCAGTGAGCAATTACCAGGGTCATATGTAAAGTAGTTCAGCAAGAATTTTTACCCTTTCTTTGGATTATGTAATCAAATGAGATTTAAAGGAAAATTGGTCCATAAGCTCTCAGTGTATATTTGAGAGTAAATTGTCCAAGAAAGGCAGTGAAAAACAATGAACAGTTAGCCCCATGGCCATGAGTAGTGTGTCGCATGTGATTGAGATCAGAAATCTCAGAGACAGGGTTTCTTGATCTTCATGGAGAGCTGAGAAGGTAGGGCACCTTGGTCAAATCCATTACCTACAATGAACATGAAGAGCCTGGCCAAAGCCAGAACAGTGATACCATAGAGAATATCCTAGAATATCTTGTATGTGTTCATCTCACAGTGTGGGCCAACCTCACAGAAGGGCCTTCTCTGAAAAATTTCATGCCTGTTTTTTTTATATATCTATAAAAATTATGAATGTATTTGAGCCCCCATAAGAGGTATACGGTAGTTATGAATACCTTTAACTCCATAAAGACCAGGTATCCATTTTATTTACTTGGGAGCCCACTAATATAGAACGTGGATCTCAGAGGAGATGCTGGGGCACAGAGAGTTTATAGGGAAGTTGATTTTTGCATATATCTCCGTTGGCCTGAAACCAGCCCTGTTGGGGCCACTCAGTCATTCCAGAGAGGGAGCTGTGTGAGCATGACAGACACAGTTACAAATACATGAATATTTGAAATCTAATACTGTACATATTTTAAAAAGATAACTGAAGTTGTTCATGCTGAATTATTTATTTTCCATATCATTTAGGTTATATATAGTAATATTCATCAAGGAATATCTGAGGAAAAACTAAGAGTTTCATTGAATGTGCTCTATAATATAAAGCGTATATTAACATATAATGCACTATTGTAAAAAAGACCACACTAAGGCACTTTCAAGGTCACCTAGCTAAGTAGCAGAGCCAGGGTTCCAGGCTTCATTTTCTTTCCATTTTGGCACCATTGCTACTTATATTTAGAAATTGCCCCACTGTTCTGAGCTGTGTTCCTGCATCTAAACACTATTTTATAAGAAGTTTAAGAAAAGAGTTCCTTAACAATTTAGACATTTTTATAAATATGGAGAATAAAAAATGTACAAAGGCGAGTGGAGCAAAGCTTAAGAGTGGAAACGATGCATGCAATCTGCCCAAGTTTTTACCTCATTTTTCTTCTTTGAGGTTGGAAATCTGATACAAGTTAATTCACCTCTCTGTGCCTCAGTTACTTTCTCTATAATATGGATAATAGTACCAACCTTGTAGGGATGTGTTAGAAATTAAGTGGTGCTTAAAACAGTGTCTTACACTTCAAAAGTATTCAATAAATGAGTGATTACTAGACATTATAATTATTGTGATTTATATATATTCTTTTGCTTTTGTAGATAGCAATCCATGCTCCTCCTGGTGTACCTATAGGTTATGTTATTCAGAACTGGCATCTGTGCCTGCCCAGGTTTACAATTCAAAATGAGAGGAGAGAGGATGTACTAAAAATTACTGGTCCATGTGTTCTATGCAGCTGTTGTGCAGATGTTGATTTTGAGGTAAGAGATGTGATAATGTTTATAGGTCTTGATTTCCTCTTAAAGGGTAATATAATTTGGGAGGATGTTACAAATAAAATAAATGTGTGTGTCCTGATATTTCAAGAAGACAGTGTGCTTATATATTTAACTTTGGTCAGAAAGGTGGTTAATACTGTGATCAAGCATCAGTGTTGATTATACTAAATGGAAAAAAAGAAGCAGAGCTTTGTAGTCAGATAAACAAATAGATATAAGCAAAACATCCAACATTTGAACATGGTGGTGTCTATATGGATGCTCCGTATATTATCCATTTAAAATAAAATGTGAACCTCATCATCTATGTCTGATTGCCAAAGCATATGAATCCTTCCCTAATCTGAAATACAGGCTGCCAGTGCTCTAGATCCTCTTCAGAAGTTCTGACATCTTTGAGTTCCTACAAACAGCTCACTAACGCAAAGAGAGTTTTAAGAAAGATAGTGGAACATATACTTCCCAGTTATGCCTCTCTTTATCCTTGTGTTAAATTGATCACTGTAGGGGCGCCTGGATGGCTCAGTGGGTTAAACCCTCTGCCTTTGGCTCAGGTCATGATCCCAGGGTCCTGGGATCGAGCCCCACATCGGGCTCTCTCTCTCCCTCTCTCTCTCTGCCTGCCTCTCTGCCTACTTGTGATCTCTGTCTGTCAAATAAATAAATAAAATGTTTTTTTTTTTATTTGATCGCTGTAAACCATAATTTATCTGTGTATTTATGACGCGAAGGAGTTTCATTACAGCAATTTTTCCATAGATGGCCTAGTCTTGTAGCCCAAATTATTTAGTTGCAAATATTTAAAAATAGGGAGATTTTATAACTTAATATTAATCCCATGATTCTCTTGGAAAAATTATAAAATATGTTAAGCTGGACGACCATTTGTACAAAAAGGGGCAAAAATCTAAAACTGAGCAGGGCTGCCTTATAAGATGTATGCAATCTGACACTGTCCCCTGACTTCCTACAGTTTTCCACTCTCCAGCTCCATTCTTTATATTATCTTCCTGGCTTCTCTAATCATATGATTTTCAAGTCCTTTGTTAGACCCTGGTTGTATAAAAATGACTTCTTCCCCTCAGTGACTTCAGAGTCAAATGAGAGAGACAGGCACTTCTAAGAAAACATGTGATATAATAGAAACTTTATAAAGACTCTTACAAAGGCATATACATAGTGTAAGGGGGGAATTGAGGGGATATATGATAAGCATGTGTAAAGACTTATAGTTTTTGTATAATAATAGTTCTCTATGTAGGGGTTATCATTCCTATGAAAGAGCCAGAGGACTGAGAGGTAATTGTTCTTTGAGGGAATATTAATAGAATTTTTGCTGACATAGACTTTATTTGTAGAAAATGAGTGAAAATACTGGTGCAACAAGTGAAATTGGATTGTGAAACTTTTATATTTAATGCTAAGGAATTTAGAAATCTCCCAGCAACCCTTCTCAGTGGATGCCTTAAAGCATCCATTATATATAATGAGTTAACTAGTCTCCTGTGCATCTAGAATGGTTCTAACTAGGTAGCATCTTTGAGAGAATTGAGAATGTAGTCCCTTGAATCATTTTCTGTAGGCTAGGTATAATGAAAAGTTTGAAATCAGGAATTATCAGTAAGGAACCACAGTGGAACATGAACTCCATCATAGTATTAATGGTATGGAAACAAAGTAGAGAAGAATGGCCTGAACACAGCAGGAGCAGGAGCCATTCTAAAGGGAGAACTAATTCAGAGACATTTCATAAGTATACCAAATGGAACTAATTCATGGCTTTGATGTCAACTGAGCATGAAAGAAAATTTGGAGATGATTCTGATTCATGTTGTTCTAATATCTGATGTTTAAGAAGCTCAATGAGGGCACCTGGGTGCCTCAGTTGGTTAAGTAACCAACTCTTGATTTGGCCTCAGGTCATGATCTCAGGGTTGTGAGACTGACAGATGGAGCCTGGGGATGGAGCCTGCTTAAGATTCTCTCTCTCCATCTCTCTTTGCCACCAACTGCCCACCCCCAATCTCTCAATCCCTCTCTCTCTCTCTCTCTCAAAAAAAAGAAAAAAAAAAAAAAACCAGCAGCTGAATGGATAATGATGCCATTAGCCAGGTTAACAATCTTGGAGAAGAAATAGTTAATTTGTGAGAACCTCATAATTTGTATTTCAGTTATGTTGGGTTTTTAGTATGTAGAAAAAAAGTTTGGGATGTTTTCAGCATATAGATGGTAGTTGAAGCCATGAGATTCTCCGAAGGGTGAGTAGAAGAAAGACAAGCAGACTTTTTATCCCATGGAGGCAATAAGGGAATTTGTTTCCTTCCAAGACTTTTGGTAGGGGGAAAAAAACCCATGAAACTGCTAATACATTATAGTTCCCTCTATGTATCTGAAGTCAATTCATACCACTCTTATGGATGAGGAACATCATAACATAGAAATTGATCCTGAGTGGTGATACAGATAACATAATTGAATGCAAAAGCACACTAGAAGGAGATTGCCAAAGACTGATCACCAAAACACTCTCTGTTCCTATAGAAAAAGCTGATACTCACATGAAAAGATAAAAAATTATATAATGTTCTAAGAATTAATTCACCACCAACAAACTGCATATAATAGAACAGTCTGCAATCAATTATATAAGAAATATCTAAATAAACATTAAAGAGGCTAAAGAAGCAGCAAAAAAGTTCATAAGGAGAAAATGAGACTATTATAAAAAAGGACAGGAGGATCTGAAAACAAACCAAATAGAAATTCCAGAAATAAGGAACACTCATTGATGAAATCTCATTGGGAGGGTGGAGCTGAAACCCTGCATTGGGTTGAGCTGAAAATTAGATACAGGTGAAGAGGGAAATAATGAACTGGATGATCTATATGAGGAAAATAAATGGGAGAGTGGGAAAAGATAAATTTGAAAGGATCAAAAAAATTTAAAGGAATGTGAAAACTAGAATAAACTACTCTTCATGTGCCAAAGAGGAGTCACAGAAAAAGAGAATACAGAGAATGTGCCAAAATAGTATTCAAAGGGATAAATGAATAAAAATCATGCAGACTTGATGCATGGTTTCTCAGTCTCAAAAAGTACAAGGAGTTCTGAGTAAGAAGAAGGAATGACACCCAAATACAACTTGAACTGCAAACTTCAATCTAAAAAGGAAATCTAAAATCAGCAAGTGGGAGGGGGAAGGTTATCTCTAATATGTAATTCCCTGTTAGGAATTATGAACAATTTATCCTAAGTTTACTGGCTACTTTTGTTTGTGGTCTTTGAATTGCATATTCATATCCATTGTCTGTATTTTTATTAGATTGTTTATTTTTATCTTGTCAATTTATAAATGTAATTTGTATGTAAATATAATTTGTATGTTGAAGATATCAACCCTGTCCTCTGATCTGCAAATAGTTTCCACAAATCTACCCTTTGTGGAACTTACATATTTATGTATGTGTATGTATGTATGTGTGTGTGTATACACACACACATATATATATCATATATAGGCACATATATCTATTTAATATCTTGCCATTCTCCTGTCTTGATTATGAAGTTACCCCCAACTTTATATTTTATTTACTCATTTTTTAATCTTTTTTATATTTAAATCTTTAACTTACCAGGAATTTTACTTATAGAAGATAGGATCAAACATCTTTCTCCTTCAGATGGCTAGACAGCTGTGTCATCACAATTTATTAAATGAAGTATTCATTCCTTAATGAATTGAAATACTATACATTAAATTTCCATAAATGGGGCCCCTGGGTGGCTCAGTGTGTTGAAGCCTCTATCTTTGGCTCAGGTCATGATCCCAATGTCCTGGGATCGAGCCCTGCATCAGGCTCTCTGCTCAGCAGGGAGCCTGGCTTCCTCCTCTCTCTCTCTGTCTGCCTCCCCCCCTACTTGAGATCTCTGTCAAATAAATAAATAAATTCCCATAAATGATAGGATCTATTTTAGATTTTCGTTTCATTGATCTAATTATCTGTTCTTACAACAGTGCCTTATGATTCAATTATGGCAACTTAATTATGTATTCTATTTTAAGTCATAGCCAAAGAGCCACTTATTAGTCTTCTTTATTGTGTTTTTTGCTGCTATCAGATTTTTCCTTTCCTGTGAATATCAAGGCAATTTTTCAGAAGTTAGAATCCTATTAGTATTGTATTAAATCTGTATACCATTTTTAAAAATTAACATTTTTATGAGGCTAAACCCGTCTCATCCCAGAAATGTTATGCCTTTTTATTCATTCATATCTAATTTTATATTCTTCATAAGATATGGGTTTCTTTATATAGAACTTCTTTTTTTGTTAAAAATTTCCTAAGTAATTTAGAGGCATTTTCACTATTAAGAAGGAATAGAGATATGTTAAGTACTTATTCTTATTGAAAAAGGCTATTTATTTGTTTACCTTCTATCCAGTCTTCTGACTGGACTAAGTATTTAACTGAAGAAACATTTTTGCTTATTTATACTTAATTTTTCTATTTAAAAATTACAGAGCAAAGTGAAATCATTTTAACTGTTCTCATGTTTATTTACCAATTAGCTCATTTTCTTTTCTAGTCTATTCTAGCAGCAAAACTGAATAGTAATGCCAATTGTGAGAATACCTACCAAGTTGATGACTTCAGTTGAAATAGCAGCAATGTTTCACAATTTAGAAAGACATTGGCTATTATTTTTCATGTTGTGTTTCTAGTCCTATTTTACCTAGAGCAGGAATTAGCAAAAAAAAAATTTTTTTTAAGATGAGATAGAAAACATTTTAGACTTTATGGGCCATATGGTCATTGTGTGCAACTCTTCAAATCGGTCATTGTAGCATGAAGATAGTTATAGACAATATATAAATACAGCATATAACTGTGTCCTAATGTGACTTTTTTACAAAAAAGCGGGTAGGCTAGATTTGGCCCACTGATCATTGTTTGCTGACCCTTGTTGTAGATTTTTACTAAGAATTGATACCTAACTGTCTAAAAGCAGGGTATCACAATGGTCATGAGTATAGACTCTGGAACAGAGTGCCTGGGTTTGAAATCCTTCCCACAACTTCTTATCTGTGTGAACTTAGACAAATTATTTAAACTCTTCTTGCCTCAGTTTTTCTATATGAAAACTGTGTTTAATAATAGTACTATTTTGAAGTCAATCAGAGAAAGACAATTATATGATCTCTCTGATATGAGGAATTTGAGAGGCAGAATTGGGGGTTTGGGGAGTAGGGAAGGAAAAAGTGAAACAAGATGGGATCAGGAGAGAGACAAACCATAAGAGACTCTTAATCTTACAAAACAGACCGAGGGTTGGTGGGGGTAGGGCAGGAGGGAGAGGGTGGTTGGGTTATGGACATTGGGGAAGGTATGTGCTATGGTGAGTGCTGTGAAGTATGTAAGCCTGATAATTCACAGACCTGTACCCCTGGGGCAAATAATACATTATATGTCAATAAAAATAATTAATAAAAAATAGTACATATTTTGTAAAGATATTGTGAGGGGGAAAAAAAAATCACCTAATACTTATAAAGCATTTATATGTTATGCATATGCTAAATGTTGTATAATTGCTTAATTAGCAAATAAATAAAATACATTTTCAGCATTCTTTTGACACTTAACCTAGGTTCTATGTGCTAATGTTCTATTTGAATTTTTTGCATTTATATTATAAGATGAGCCTATAGATTTTTTTAGAATACCACTATCAGTTCTCAGTATATATGTATAAGTATATAATATTAGTTTATTATTTCTAGAAGTTATAATCATTTTATTATATAGATTTTCCATTTTCAAATACCTAGAATTTAGCTAAAAATTATCTAATCCTATTTACTTTTCAGTTATAAATCATTATCCACATTTCTGAGCCTTTTCATAAAAAGTTATATGTTCTACTTACATAAATTTTAGTAAATTTTTAAATTTCTTCCTATTGGAATTAAAAGGAGAAAAGTCAATATTGGTTAAATCTAGTGGTAGGATTATGGTGGCTTATAAATTATCTTTTGTATATTTTATTTTAAAAACACTTCTGAAATTAATAATGACTAAATTTAAAAATAAATATAAGGTTTTATTACTAGCTTCAAATGCTAATGACAGCTATTGAGGTTATAAAACACAGGTATGCAGAGGCACCTGGGTGGTGCAGTCGGTTAAGTATCTGACTCTTGGTTTCAGCTCAGGTCATGATCTCAGGGTCCTGAGATCCAGCCCCATGTCAGGCTGCCTGCTCAGTGTGGAGTCTGCTTGAGATTCTCTCTCCCTCAACCTCTCCTGCTCATGCTCTCTCTTTCAAATAAATAAATAAGTCTTTAAAAACAAACAAACAAAAAACACAGGCATGCAAGAGGAATTTGTTTTATTCTGTTTAGCCACAATAATGTTGCATAACAAATAACCCCTAAAACTCAGTAGCTTAAAACTACAGGTATTTATTCTCATGCTAATGAATATGCAGGTCAGTTGTGTCTCAGGGAGTATACTGAGGCTCAGCTAGATGGCTCTGATTTGGAATGTAAGTTGCCCTCAGGTCTACTCCATGTATATTCATTCTGGAGCTGTAGCAAATGCGGCTACCTGGATCCTGTGTTTCTAGTGGCTGATCACTGGAGAACAAGAGCCAGGGCAAACAACTTAACCATGTTTAAGGCCTTTGCTCATGTCACATCTATTAACATTCCATTAGTCAGGCAAGTCATATGGGCAACTCTGTCAGTGTACAGGGACATGTTCTGGGCTTACAATTGGTGGGGGAGGGTAGTGCATGAATATTTGCTGAACAATAATCTATGCTATCACAGTCATATTAGAAGTTTATTTCAGATTTGTAAAGAACCCATCAACCCAAGCCAAAATAAAATGAGTCAGCTGTTTTTAGTTTCCCCACGTTTTTTAACAGATTTTATTTATTTATTTGACTGAGAGAGACAGCACAAGGAGGGGGAGCAACAGAGGGAGAGGGAGAAGCAGACTCCCCGCTGAGCAGGGAGCCTAATGCCGGACTCCCATCTGATGACCCCTGGGATCATGGCCTAAGCCAAAGGCAGACACTTAACTGACTGAGCCACCCAGGGCACCTAGTTTCCCCATATTTATTTTGCTGTTCTCAACCTGAGCTAGGGCTTCAGTGGGTGTTGCTAGCACCTGTGGTACCTTGTGCACATTTGAAAAGGACTTCTTTTCCTGGTTTGACATAACTCTACATGCAAATACCATGGTAAGTGTGGGTTACATTCATCCCCCCACGTACCTACTTGGTAAGTGCATTTGTCCAGCCATGAAATGTTCAACTCTTTATAATGGCCCAGGGCTTCCCTCAGGCAGAATTGTAAAATTAGAAAAATTTTACTTTGGAGCCCTTTTTATCATCCACCCTTCTTCTTTTTGTTGTTCACTGTCTATCCACCCCACTGTTCAGTCTTACCCCAACCCTTGACCTGCAGCATCCCATCAAGTTACTTATTGGTTATTTTCCTTTACTCAAAACTGCCAGTCTTCTTTTCCAGGCTCTTTGCATTTCATATTTTTCTACAGATGGTAGTAATGAACCCTCCCATCACATTTTTTTTTAAGATTTTTATTTATTTATTTGACAGACAGAGATGACAAGTAGGCAGAGGCAGGCAGAGAGAGAGGAGGAAGCAGGCTCCCCGCTGAGCAGAGCCGGATGCGGGGCTCGATCCCAGAACCCTGGGATCATGACCTGAGCGGAAGGCAGAGGCTTTAACCCACTGAGCCACCCAGGTGCCCCAATCCTCCCATCACATTTAAACACTCAGCTTATATAAACTCTCTGTGCTTCTCTTACAGCATGGGGGACTCATTTAGTACCTACCTGATGGTCTTCTAGAAATTTCACCAAAGAAACATTTTGTATTTTTACCTTTTTCTGCTTAAATTTTGTTTTAGATCAACTTATTTATGATTATTTTAACGTAGAACAGAAAATATTAAATAAGCAAAACTACTTTCATGTAAGTTCTCTGCAGCAAAGAAACAGGTTTATTTTTTCATGCATCTGAAAGTAGATACAAGAATGTATATGCATTTAATAGTGATATAATGTTCATAGTTAAGTATTACACATAATTTTGATAGAGTATTTCATTTTATTTCAACTTTTAGTTTGTTACTAGTTTTCTAGAATTCTTTAAGGTTGTATTTTTTTTTTCACTTTAGATTAAATCTCTTGATGAAGAAAATGTGGTTGGCAAGATTTCCAAGCAGTGGACTGGTCTCGTGAGAGAGGCATTTACAGATGCTGATAACTTTGGTATCCAGTTCCCTTTAGACCTTGATGTGAAAATGAAAGCTGTGATGCTCGGTGCATGTTTCCTTATTGTAAGTCTATTCTGCTAATCTTGGGTTTAGATGGTTTCTCTAGTATCATTCTGAAATGACTGAGTAAACTGTACATTTTTAAATGACTTTGTGAAATTTATAGGTTTTATTCCAAGGGGCCCATTTAATTCTAGCCCTGAAATTTCATTATCTTCTGGTATTCTGGGTTCGCAGGTACCTAGTTTCTCTGGAGAGTCTATGAAATTTCATATGGTAATAGAAGGACCTCATGTGTTAAGAAGGGGCCCTGGTCTTTGGGGTTTTTATTTAAAAATTGAAGTCAGTGCTGTGAAAAAGAGTTTGAATTTGGACTTGCATGGAATAGACTCAGTCAAACAAGATTTTGCCCAGCTTTCATTATTAAATTAAATCATCTTATACAGGAGTGCAAACTGCAGTAAGAGTAAACATCCCATTGAGCCATTAAATAGAACTGCCATTTGAGAGGAATTACGTGGGATAGTGCAGTGATTCTGAACTTACCTTCACATTTAATCAGCTAGGGAACTTTAAAAAACCCCAAGTATCAGGCTGTACCCCAATTTAACTAAATTAAAGGCTCAGAATTAGAAGTTTGTATAGCTCCCCAGGTGACTATGCAGCCAAAATCAAGGGCTCCCGGGACAGAGCAATAGTTTTCAAGCCAAGCTGCTCAATAGAAATACCTGGATAGCTTTCAAACTCCCTGTGTCAAGACTACATGCAGATAGTGTTCAAAATCTCGGGAGGTGGGACCAAGCCTGCAAGCTGTTTAGAACTGTCAGGTGACTCCAATAAACAAGCAGGGTTTGGAGCCACTAGATGAACATCTTAAACACTGACATGGGGATGCAATCCCAAAAAACTAAAAAGTGAGCGAATATACAGAAAAAGAATCCAGTTGCTTCAACAAATAAGTGTCCATAAAATAAAAAGATAAAAAATAATATAAAGAGAGAGATAAACTTAAGAGACCTCAACTTATGCAGTTTGTAGACCATATTTAGATACTGATTTGAACAAATGAATATAAAAAGACATTTAGAAGGAATTCAGAGAAATTTGAACACTAATTGGCTATTTGATGATATTACTAGATTATTATTTTTTAAAAATATGCTAGTGATATTAGGCTTATATAAAAACAAAAGAGTACAAATTTTTAGGGGCACACACTGAAGTGTTTCAGTATAAAATGGTATGATATCACAGATTTGCTTTTAAATAATGAGGTTGAGGGCAGGGGGATCTAGGGGATAGAGTGATTAATGAACCAAGATTGGTCAGGTTAATAATTATTAAAGCTTGGTGAGTGGATATTGAGATTTTATTTTGCTATTCTATCTAATTTGGGATAGGGCCAATATTTTCTACATAAAGTTTTAATATAACCACAGTTCGGTTTAAAAACTGTTTTCACTGTTTATTTCATGGGAAAAGTAAAATTAACCTTAGGAAACTGTTTGACCAGACATACACACACCATAACCAAAGGTATGGGGTGTAAAAGGGAGAAAGGACAGTCTGAGGTGTTTGGATAGATGAAAAACAGGGTTGGGAGTTGTGGTGGGGTTATTAGGAAATGACTATGATGTACATTGGGCCTCTTCTAAAGGACTTTTAAAGGTTGGACAACTTCTTGTATATGTGGGGAAAATACTGAAAATTATTTAGTTAATTGGTTGGTTTTAAACCAGGTATAAATAAAATAGTTATAAATCCAAATCTCAGAAAGATAAATCCTGCTGACTATGTAAGAAATGGATTGAGGAGAGGTAAAATTATCATACTGCAGTTGCAAGTGAATGATGATAAGGATTAAATTATTTCTTTGTGAACAGATAATGAAAATGATAGATGTGACAGAAAATCCATAGGATTTGATAAAAGTCATAGGGAAGAGGGTCTGGTTAGACACTGATATAGTGAGACAAGTTGGGGAACACAGTGGACAAGTTTGCAAGAGAAATCATAAAACTGGGCCAAAAAAATCTAAGATGCATGCTACCTCTAAGATGGCTGTCATTCTCCTGAAAAAATCTGAATGTTGTACTTTGAATTCCAGTCTTAAGAAAAGTTGTATTACTAGAGAAGGAGTACAAAAAGTTAAGAAAGAAAAATCAAAAAGAGAAATATTTTGAGTGGCATGAGAAAAAGTGAAATTTAGAAACATTACCAGAGAATAAATTAAATTCATGCAGGCAATCAGTAAATGAACAGAATTACAGGATGTACTTGCTACTGTATTGGAAAGCTATCAACTTTTCCCAGATGCTGATCTCTGCTTTGTTGCTGAAAACTCATTTCCATATTTTTGTTCTTATCTAGGACTTCATGTTTTTTGAAAGGAATGGAAACAACGAATAAAAAGGAGCATGGTAATGTGAATTAATGAAAGTCTCCTCAGAAAGTTTGAAGTCTGTGAATTGATTGGGACTATGTAAAAAAAAAAGCTGTTTTTTTTTTCTTTGTTGAAATAACTAATAGCATATGTGAATTATACTGTGATACCTGAAGTTCCTGTTATATATGACTTGGAATTATGAGTTTATTTTCTATATCACTTACTTATAAATGTTCTTATGCATTTTCTTTTATTTCATACATGTTCTTTTTCTTTGTGTATTTTGGAGAAAGGACATGTGAATTTTTACATTTAATCATGAAACTTCCCATGGTAACTTGTTTTGAACTGTAATTTCTTTTATTTTCAATTTTTATAGAAAATTAACTAAAGCCTTATTAAAGTAATTTAACATAAAAGTTACATTTTATTAAATATAGTTCCAGTTTACTTCACATGTGTAAAAACTAATGTTACTTTGCAAATACTATATAATCACATAAGTGAAAATCGATATAATTTCAATTTCCTTTACAACTATGTTAAAATAATACTTAATATTCATATTACCGAGGAACATAAAATGTGTATTTGTTTTTGTTCAGCAAATTACAGTATATATAATTTATAAGTTAATCTACTGCTATAAAAAGATTTTAATATTAACAAGACAATAAATTATTGATGTTTTAATGATTTCCAAGGAAAAAGGTATGTGGTAAAGAAGAACACGTTCAAAGACTCTATAAAACTGAAACATTGTTATCATTTTTGAAGTAATTATTTACACATGGAATGAATGGTTAACTCCTGTATTTATCATTCATAGAGCATAACAGTTATGAGATCACTCAGATGTTAAATAGAACATATATATTCATCTGAGTAGAAACTTCAGTAATGGTCTGTTGGAGTATTTACACCAACAATCAAATAACTGATTTAAAAAATATTGATATATTTGCATATTTGATTTTTAAATAAACTGTGAATAGTCAATTTCGGTGGTATTCTGAACATTACACATTTACCATCTTTTTGCTTTCAGATCTCCTTTAAAAGGAGCAAAAGCATAGATGATCTTTATTAAAATCCATTTTTTTTTTCAAAATCAGCAAAAATAAAATTTAATGGTGGGCCGCAGGTGTGTCAGTCTGTCCTTCCTTGGGAGTGACCGCCGACCATCTTGAGAGAAAGCACACTGTTCCTTCTACCTGCAGAAGAGGGGCTCCGGAAGGACCCCTGATGGCAGGCCACCTCGGCTGGGCTGCCGCAGCCCCTGGGAGGGCGCTGCTTCCGAAGAGGGGAGGTGTGCAGAGGGCACAGACCCCCTCCCCGCCGGGGGAACTTTCCACAGGCCACCTGGTTTCCTTCTTGCAGCCGCAGCTGGAGCTGACTCTAGGACAGCGAGGGGGCTTCTTCAGTCCTGTAGCTGCCCTAAGATACCTTCTGGGGAACACAGCCCTCCAGCTCCAGCAGCTCCGGCCAGCCCTCGTATTTGTTTGTGTCTGGGTTGTTCTTTAAGAACTGCTCAAAAGGGCTTTTATCCCTGAGGTCTTTGCCCCTAGGAAGACCCAGCTATCTCTGAATCCCAGCTGCTTTGCATAGGAACTGCCCAAGTTGGTGAGGCGCTTCCTGGTCTCATCATTCATTTTGGTTCCTGGGTCATCATAGGAGGCCACTAGCACCAGTGTGCCCTCTGGGATTTCTTTGTTTTTGTTTTTGTTTTTGTTTTAAAGATTTTATTTATTTATTTGACAGATAGAGATCACAAGTAGGCAGAGAGGCAGGCAGAGAGAGAGAGGAGGAAGCAGGCTCCCGGCTGAGCAGAGAGCCCGATGTGGGGCTCGATCCCAGGACACTGGGACCATGACCCGAGCCGAAGGCAGAGGCTTTAACCCACTGAGCCACCCAGGCGCCCCCCTCTGGGATTTCTTTAAGGAACTTTACCAGGAGCGTAACATCTCCAGAGTACATGTCGAAACATTTCTGTGTCAGCACCACTCCTGTGGTTCCGTTCACCAGGGCAAAGTTCAGGCCTCTGCCCTGTTGTTTTTCACAGGACTCATGATCACAAGGTTTTCAAAGCACATGGTGGGACCCACGACATTAGCGGCTCCGCTGCTGATTTTAAGGGCAAAGAAGTTGTCCGGGTAGGGCTTGCTGAGGCCGCACTTGGTCCTCACGACCTCTATGGAGAGAACAGACCAACCTTGGTGGTCGCAGCATGGCAAGGAGCTCGGGAGGTGGCAGGGGAGCGGCCAGAGAGCAAGCTCAGCAGGGGAGCGGCCCTGCTGAGACACTAACATGTCTACCCATCAGAAACTTAAAGGAATGTACTCTATTTTGTAGGAAAGACTGGATCGAGTGAGAGGAGATGTCTAACCTACAATTTAACTCAAGCAAAGGAAAAGTGTGTTTAGGAAACAAGGACTTGGGGGAAAGACTCCTGTTAATCTTTAGCAGAACTCCAACACGATCACTAGCTCCTAATGTTGAGAACACTGGGATGGCAAGGGAGCTACAGGGAAAGTGACCACCTTTAATTAGCCCAAGCAGCTCCCCCATGCCAGATTCCACTAATGAGGTGTAACCAAAACACTCGTGTTAACTTTGCAGTTGGTATAGACAGCATGCCAGGTAAAGTGAAAGTACTTGCATGCTGGTGGCTCTACTTGTGCCTGGTGGAGAAAGGGAAGGCAACCCAAGCTAGATGTCAGTTACCACAACCAACCCCAAATGAGGTTAGAGGTGCTGGCCTTATTCCTGTGACAACTACATCTTACTTTGATTTTCTCTCTGCTCTCCCACTCCTTCTCCCTGTTCTTTGCATAGGATTCAGGATCTCTGATTAAGCAAAGTAAAACTACAACTGATCTAAATAACTTTTTCCTTCTTCAAGGACACCACACACTCTCTGAAAAACCCATTTAAGTTCAAATACTAGAAAAATATGTTATCATGAAAAATTAATAAAGTGAAAAATCATCACACATGAAAAGTTAGAAATTTAAATAAGAAAATCACCAGGAATTGCAGCAAGTGTCTTGACATTTGTTCACAGTTTATAATTTCAATGAGACTTGAAGGAACGCTGCATATTTATTTCTGGAAAAGACAGTAGAGAAAAAGGAACATTCTGTTGAGACAAAATTTTAATAATGTTGAAAATTTTGATGCCACATTTTAAAATATGGTGGAAACACTGGAATAGTAGATTGCACAAAGTAGAAGGATAACATGATAAAGTAAAAGGGATTTTAGAAATTCTCCAGGAAGTCAGATAAATTCAAAGGGTAGATTGAGTAGAAATATTCCATATTTCTACCATCAATCTGTTCACGATGAGGTATAAGTTCTCTAAAATAGTACATCTTTTCTCTACCATGTTCTTCACTTCCTTCTGAGTACTGACAGCAGAGTCACTTTTATCCATATTTCTGTGAACAGTCTACTTAAGGCAATCTTGGCTTTTTCTATCATGCTCCTCAAAATTCTTCCAGCTTCTACCCATTTCCAAATCCCAAAACTTCTTCTACATTTTTAGGAATTGTTGCAGTAGTACCCCATTTCTAGATCCCGAAGGTTGTATCAGTCTATTATTGCTGCTATAACAAACTACTACAAACTTAGTGGCTTTACACAATACAAATTTACTATCTTATAGTTCTGGAGGTCAAAAGTCTGAAATAAGTCTTACTAGGCTTCATTAATTAAATGTTTATGTTTCCGCAAAATTCATATGTTGAAGCCCTAACGCCAATGTAACTTAAATCGTTCTAAGGAACTAATTAAGTTTAAATGAGCATAAAGGATGTGGCCCTGATCTGATAAGATTAGGGTCCTCTCTTCATGCACATACACCAAGGAAAGACCTTGTGAGGACATACAAAAGGGGCATCTAAAAATCAAAAAGGGAGCTCTCTTCTGAAACCAGTCATGCTGGTGTCTGGATCTTGAACTTCCAAATTTGCAGACTGTGAGAAAATAAATTTCTGTATTTAAGCCTTCTAATCTGTGGTATTTTCTTATGGTACCCTAAGCAGATTAATATACCAAATTAAAATCAAGATATTGAAAGAGTTTCGTTCCTCCTGGAGGCACTAGAGTACAATCCTTTTTCTTGCCTTTTCCATCTTCACAGGCCACCTATATTCCTTGACTTATAGCTTCTTTCCATTGCTAAAACTAGCAAATGCTTCCATTATAACTTTTCTATCTCTGACTCCAATTCTGCATTCTCTCCCACATTTAAAGGACCCTGGGGATAACATTGGGCCATCCTGGATAATCAGGGATAAACTCCCTATTTTAACTTTACTTGGTAACTAACTTTAATTCTATCTGCAACTTAATTCTCCCTTGCTATGTAACATAACACGGGTTTAGAATATGGATATTTTTGTGGGGCCATTATTCTTCCCAGTGTGTGTGTGGAAATTTATGATATGTATATACATATATATTTATACATACATATTTCCATATAAATATCCATAAATAACATAGAGCATTACTTTTCATGTGCTTAAAAACAATATAAATGGCACCATATTATATATACCTTCAGCAATTGAAATTTTTCATTCACTGTTTTTTCTTTTGTACCTTGCCCATGTTGATATGTGTTATCTCTAGTTTGCAAATTTTTATGGTTATATATAGTATTCTGTTTTATGACTTTATAATACTGAGTTTACCTATCCTGTTCTGGATGGGCTGACAGTTAATATTATGTTAACTTGGGTAGGCTGAGGTACCCAGATATTTGGTCAAAAATTATGATTCTGTGAAGATATTTTTAAGATGAGATTAACATTTAAAGTAGACTTTGACTAAAGCCAGTTACTCTCCATAACATTCGTGGGCCACATCTTATCAGTTGAAGACCTTAACTAAAAATGATTGACCGCCCTCAAAGAAAAGAGAATTCTGCCAAATACTCCTTTCAAACTCAAACTGCAGCATCATTTTTTCCCTGGGTGTCCACTCTGTTGGCCTACCATACAGATTTTGGACTTGCCAGTGTCTACAATCATGTAAGCCAGTTTCCTTCAAATCTCTCCTCCCTCCCCTCCCCTTCTCCTTCTGCCATCTCTCTCCCTCATTCTTTTTTTCTAGAGAATTCTAATACATTAACTTTTCTCTATCATCAATCTTAACAGAATATTTCTATGCATATTTCCTTATATGCATATGGAAGAGGTTCTCTGGAGCTATTCCTGTTATTGGAATTGG